CCTAACTCAATTATACTTAAGCCTATGGATAGATCATATACTCTCTCACTGTATTCTCATTTCTTATTCAATATCTGTCAAATGCAAAAAATTCTTATCAGTACTTGAGCTGTCATGTCAAAACTCACATTGATAATCTCCCATGTGCACTTTACTGTAGGTTTCGTATAAATACATTTTAAGAAGCCGAACTAATTTCATGGGTACCCAGAAACTCAGTGGTCTATTGTGCTTTATTTTCTGGGATTATAATGCTATGTAGTGCACTCAAAGTCAACTGACATTTCAGAGGAACCTGTCATCTTCTTCTTTAGGATTGAAGAATAAACAATTTCTGCTTGCCATTTGCTTTCATGCTGGTTTATTGCTTGGTTTATTCTTCCATCCTGAATATGGTTATATATCCCTCCAAAATGCCGGTTGACTTTCTACACCCTATATAGCTGTCACATCCCATTAGATAGAACTCTTCGTAACCACCACTGTGAGAACCTCAAACCCTACAACTCTCCTAAAGGCTTAAGTTTTGGAAATATTTCTGAGTACAAAAATTTCAGTACTAATGAGCAAGAGTGCATTGTGTCTTAAACTGCAGAGATATTATGAGAGATACTATGGACGTAAGAGGATGAGAAAAAACTGTATGATTTCTAATACCAAAGATGAACTAGAACTGAATACCGACAATGGTATGTTGCACATGTAGATTTGCTCAACAAGCAAGGATGATAGAAAACGTTAACTCAGACTGTTGTTCTTGCATGCATTAACTGGAACTGAGAAGCATGTAACATAAATTCCTGACACTCTTTCCAATGGATAATTTCTGATGTTACATATACAATTACTGATTGTGAAAAAATGGTTAACTTTACAAACTACATGCTATTAATAGAGATATCACACATTCTAAACCTGCAGTGTGTGGTCCACAGATAGTTATGCATTAATGTGCTTACTTCTCATATCTTTCGTTTTTAGGCTACTTTCATTATTTTTATGAGAGCACTTTGCTCTCTGTCCCACATCCCTACCCCCAAACATTGCTAGGCAATGGCTTGATAAATATGTTTCCATGGCAATGAATACACATGCAACAAGTGAAGAACTCTTGGATGTGGTATTTTGTATGAAGTCTGAATCATTTCGAATACTCAGTATATAGTGAAAGGAAAGTAGGTGATCAGTTCTTTGCTGAACTTCTTGTTACTGATATATTCATATTTGTGTGTGTGTGCCATGCACGTGTGCATGCACACACACAACTACAACAGTTTTAGAAGACTGGAATTACTCCTTTCCTTTTCATGTCAGTGTGTTTTGTTAATGTGAATTTTCTTTAGGTAGGCATTCATACTGCTACATAAATTAATAACACAATCCTATTATTTTCAGGCCTAATTTATATTTTGTTCTTAAAATATTTAACATTTTCTATGACTTCAGTGACATGACCTTCATTTATGACCCATAATAATATTAATTTCTTCATAACAGTGGCAATGGTGCAGTTGGGAGGTACCATGAGGAGGATATGAACTATTTCATGTATGTTAACAATCTGTATTATATTACTGAGGTACAATTACAAAAGACAAGTCCATCCAATGTGACTATTTCAGTTTTCTCACTTGATGATTCACTAGCCTTACACGTTTCGATCCATTTGGATCATCTTCAGAGGCACCAAACACTTTTTAGAAACCACTATCACAACAGTTGTCATATCAGATACACATGTAATGTCCAAGTACACAATGTTCCATCTATCACTCACAGCAGAACAGTATACACAGCACAGCGGGCCAAGAAATCATAACGGACTCTCCCTAATCAAATTACATAGGAGGCACAACATCGGCCACCTTGAAGAGAGACGACAGGGGTTATTGACACGAACCGTATGTTTTATGTATTTTAATTTTTAACAAAGTTTTAAAACTTTAAAACAACTTTAAATATTTCTATAACCAGAAAGGCTACTGAGAGTGATAGATGGAACATTGTGTACTTGGACATTACATGTGTATTTGATATGACAACTGTTGTGATAGTGGTTTCTAAAAAGTGTTTGGTGCCTCTGAAGATGATCCAAATGGATCGAAACGTGTAAGGCTAGTGAATCATCAAGTGAGAAAACTGAAATAGTCATTTGGATGGACTTGTCTTTTGTAATTGTAACTGTTAGTGTGACAGACCAAACTGAAACAAATCAAATTTACTGAGAGATGTTATTTAATATATATACTGTCCCAGTATAAGTGTCAACTAGATTAGTAGAGGTGGTGATGGGTTTACTGGCACACCAGACCATGATGATGGGGACAGAGATGACTCCTAAAATGTCAGTAATTTTTAACCAACTGATACAGCTTATAGCCTAAGATTCTATCAGAAACTATGACCATCTGTGCCTATTTACCACCTGGGTTATAAAATATTGTGGACATATAAAAATGAGAAAAGACAGTGGGCCAACTCTTGTTGAAACTTCAGGGAAATCACTGAGTATTTTATTGACAGTATGTGAACAGTGAAGCTGATCATGCTGGCTAGTACACTTAGGACAATCCACTAAAACGTGCTGGACATTGAAGCACGTGACTGCAGACAGGAGGCATCTGTGAGTGACATGAACGCTGCTAACTTGTGACCAGCTTACCACAACATCATGCAAACAGCATGAGCAGAAAACTACATCAGAGCACCACTTGCTTCAAGACCCTCACATTGTTCTTCTGTGTGTGGTCCAATCCCTTTACCATTTGGGGAAAAAGACTGATGGAGGGCGATCCTGAAATCCAAGCCTAAAGCACAAGGTATGAAGATGCTATGGACAGTGGTGCCCCTGGCAGCAGCACTAGAACCTGATCAGGATGGACCAAGCTTCTTATAAGCTCTGTTCTGATATTCAAATTTCAGTTATATCATAATGGTGCCAAGAGTTCCCAACAGCACATTGTCAAATAATGAACAAACATGAAAGTGGGTGTTACAGCTGCATGGTAAGCGGCCTCCGTAGTCTAGAGGTAACATTCCCACCTCATGACTCGTGGTATGCGGGTTCAAACCCGGCGGAGGTCGTGGAATTTTAAGGGTGGAAAAATTCAGGGAGGGACTTTAAGCCGTGGGTCTCGTGTCGTAGCTTTACGGCACGTAAAAGAACCTCATATCTCCAAAGGAGGTCACTGAGCTAAATTCAAGGACATTTCCCGCCAAACAGTAGTCTCTAACGCCTCTGATAGATGGGGGAAGCATTATAGATACCGCCAAGCCAGTAGAGGCCGAACTCGCTGGCTCGGTCAGGACTGATGGTACGTACCAATATCGGTAGGGTATAGACTGGTAGAATATCATAGAGGGAAGCACAATGGACCAATACTGGTCTCAGTGCATGGGGAAACCCACCCTCTCCAATAACTAACTAACTAACTACAGCTGCATGGTGAGGAGCCAACAGTAGCAGGCATAACAACCATTCTTTACATGAGGGAAAGACAGGATAATGTACGCTACTGTATTGACAGATATATACCTCAACACAAGAATATATTATTTGTGTGGATATTAATATAAATTACCTTCTTCATAGTGAAAGAAAAACAAGTTAGATACCTTATTGAAAACTTATAATTTAATAAGTACAACAAATTTTCTCACCAGAGTTCAAAGATATTCTGCTACAGCCATTGATAATATTTTCATCGATAATACTAGAAGGGAAAATTATTCTGTAAGGCCTATAATAAATGGATTGTCTGATCATGATGCACAATCCATAACATTTAAAACAATAAACATGAGAACACATGCTAAACAATTTAAAATAATAAGGAAA